AGCTGAGCCAGCAGGGAAGCCCTGAATATTTTAATATTTTGAAAGTACAGGCAAGATTTTCTGATGAGTGAGAGACAGAGGCAAATAAGAGAGAGGCAAGGTATTTAAATCTAACAAAAGGGAAAATGTGAGTTATTAACAGAGGAAGACTAGGGGTGATATAGGTTTGCAGGAGAAATCAGAAGTTGTCTTGACCATGTGAAATTTGAGATGTCTGCTGGTGGAAATATTAAATAGGCAGTTGTTTATACCAACCTGAAGTTCAGGAGAAAAGCTAAGGCTGGAGATAGAAATTTGGGATTTGTTAGCATAGTGATTACATCTAAAACCATGAGTTGATGAGATCACTGAGGGAGTGAATAAGTGGACTCTTGAACAACACAAGGGTCAGAGGCACAATCAGAAATCTGTATACAACTTTTGACTCCCCCACAACTTAACTGCTAATAGGCCACTGCTGACTAGAAATCTTACCAATAACATGAACAGTTGATTAACATATTATATGTGTGACATGCACTACAACAAAGTAAGCTGGGTCTTCCCTGGTTACTCAGACAATAAAGAACCCACCTGCATTGCAGGAGACAAGGCCTTGATCCCTGGGTTGAGAAGATCCCCTGGAGAAGGGAGTAGCTACCCAATACCAGTATTCTTGCCTGAAGAATTCCATGGACAGAGGAGCCTGGCAGGCTACAGTCCATGCGGTGTTAAAGAGTCAGACATGACTGACCAACTAACACTTTCAAAGTTAGCTAGAGGAAAGAAAATATTATTAAGAAAATCATAAAAGAAAATACATTTACAGTACAGTACTGTACAGTATTTACTGGTACCATAAGTTTGCACCATTTATTAACAAGATGAATCATGTCACTACCTGTATCAATACCGTCTTTTTGTTGTTGTCATTTCAGTGCTTGGGCTCTCTCTAGTTGCCCTGAAGCATGTGGGATCTTGCTTCCCCTATGAAAGTGAGTCACGTCTGACTCTTCGTGACATCATGGACGCCTCAGTCCTTGCCAGGTTCCTCTGTCCATGGTGATTCTTCAGGCAAGAATCCTGGAGTGGGATCCATGCCCTCCTCCAGGGGATCTTCCCAACCCAGGGAACGAACTCAGGTCTCCCTCATTGCAGATGGAGTCTCTACTATCTGAGCCACCAGGGAAGCACATTAGTTCCCCTATCAGGGATCAAACCCACGTTCCCTGCATCGCAAGGCAGATTCTTAACCACTGGACCACCAGGACAGTCCCAATATTGTCTTATATGACACAAAACACTGTAGATATTATATGTATTACTAACATTAGACATCAAAATGGAAAAGATAATGTGAAAATAAATTAATTTTTATTTACAGGTATAACAATTCATGCGTTGATAACAAAGCAGCAATATGATTGCTCTATGGTAGCCTAATGTTTTTGACACAATTACTTCATGGTCGGCCATGGTTCCATGGTGTAATGATGAGCACTCTGGAATCTGAATCCAGCAATCCGAGTTCAAGTCTCGGTGGGACCTTTTCCTTTAGGCCACACTGATTGATTCTGGGGCTTCCCAGGTGGCTCAGTGGTAGAGAATCTGCCTGCCAAAGTAGGAACCACAGGAGATATGGGTTTGATCCCTGGGTTGGGAAAACTCCCTAGAGGAGGAAATGGCAACCCACTCTAGTACTCTTGCCTGGGAAATCCCATGGATAGAGGAGCCTAGCGGGCTACAGTCCATGGGGTCAGAAAAGAGTCAGAAACACTGAGCGACTGAGCATGCACTTCGTGGTAGCCTAGCCTATACATTAATGAATGAATCATTATAAACATTTTATGGCATTCTTATTACAGTCATTATAATACAATACTGGAAACATTGTTACTTAAACACACACACACACACTCTTACCTGTGATGATAGGCGATACTGCAGTTTCTCCAACCACGAGAAAGAGGCATACTATATGGTAATGTAATTCTTTGAAAGCAAAGTTATGGAACAGTAAGAAAACTAACACTATTAATTTTACATTAACTATCACTCTTCTTGGATTTCCTTGGTGGTACAGTGGATAAGAATCTGCCTGCCAATGCAGGGGACACAGGTTTGATCTTTGGTCTGGGAAGATTCCACATGCCTCAGGCAACTAAAGCCCGTGTGGCGCAACTGATGAGCCCATGTATTGCAACTACTGAAGCCCATATGCCTAGAGTCTGCGCTCTGCCACAAGAGAAGCCCCACAACAAAAAGCCTGGGCACTGCAACAAAGAATAACCATTGCTTTTTGTAACTAGAGAAAACCTGCATGCAGCAACAAAGACCAGCACAACCAAAAATAAATAAAATATCACTTATGTCTGTGTAAAGACAGACTAATATTTATATATATTTTATGCATTCATGACATGTCTAAATTTTTTCTGTATTTCTAGCTTAATTATTTGTGAGTTTCTTCAAATTGTCACAATTCTCCCCAAAATTTTCCAATATTTTTATTGAAAAAAATTCATGTATAAATGGACCCATGCAGTTCAAGAGTCAACTGTTTGGTGAGAGAAGAAACAGATGCAAGAATTGCACTTGGGTTGCTTCCAAGAATTTGGATATTGAGGAAAAAACAACAAAGGGTGTTGCAAAGTGGCCTGTGAGGTTAGAGGAAAACCTTGAGAACTTGGTGTGGGAAAGCCAAGGAAGAACATGTTTCCAAGAGAAGGAAGTTATCAACTGCAACGAATTACGCTGATTGACTAAGTAAAATAGTATTGAAAACTGCTGAATGTAGCAAGGATCTTGACAAGAGCAATTTCTGTGGCATGGAGGAAATTTTAAAAGCCTAACCAGTATGTTTAAGAAAGAATGGGAGAAGAGAGGTTAAGAACAGAAATTATAATCCTTTTGAGTTTTACTGTAAGGACAGCAGAGAAATAGGATGGTTAGTTGGAGCTGGAAATTGGATCTAGAGATTTGAAGATGGGCGAAATAACAGCATATTTATTTGCTATTGAGAATGGTCCAGTATAGAGAAGAAAATTGTTATTGTGCAAGATACAAGATAGAATTGCTGGAACTGTGTTCTTGAGTAAACAAGAGATGGGGTCTAGTGTCCACCTGGAGGACTGATCTTATATAACAGCATGAACAGTTCATTTCATATAATTGGAGGGTAAGCAAAATTTGTGGGCACAGATGATGAAAGATGAATACATGTGTTTATGTGCCTCCGTGGAAGTTCATTTCTGGACAATCTTATTTATCTCATTTAATTAGTAAACAAGATCTACAGCTGAAAGTAAGGATGAAGAAGAGATCTGTAGAGAGGAAAAGGTATGAAACAGTTATCTACAAGAGTGGGAGAATGAATGGACTGGGCAAACAATACAATTACCTGATATCATTAAGGGAACATTTAAACAATAATGAAAACAGCAGGTAAACCTATTAAGTACTCATGTTTTAAGCACTATTCTAAAAGACTGACATACATCAACCTATAAACTGGCAGAATTATTATCCTTATGTTAAGATATGAAAATTGAGAAGTCTCATGGCTCAGTAAACACTGGAGGCATGATACGGAGCCAAGTTGTTTGACTCCACAGACTAGGCTCATTCTTTTATGAAATCAAATATTTGTTGATTGATTGAATGAAGGAAAAAAGGATAAATGAAAGACAGGGAGAATAATCAATGCTATCTCCATGGTATGTGACTATCTAAGTCATTTTTGCTACACATGTGACCTAAATGTTGTGTTCCAGATCTTCTAACTGGGTCCATATGTGCAGGAGAGGTAGCGATAGGGATGTGGTCTATACATTTGAAAGACTTAGGCTTGAACCCCAGCTCTTTCATCACTAGCTATATTTTCAAGGCCAGTAACTATTTCTCTAAGCTCCAGTTTTTTGAAATAACATATGTTTTACAGCCTTTATGGAGAAGATTAATATAATCATTTATGTAAGGCACCTGGTATAGTACCTGATACAGAGTAGATTCTCAATATCATTAATTTTCTTTTCCCTCCATATTCTGGTGTGTTGCCTAAAAACTTCAGTACCCTCCCCAGCACAGACCCTTCTTTGCACTTGTCAGTTTCCCTATCACAACTGGAGTCTCTGCTCTCAACCCAGCTAAGACTCCTTGTAGCATCACAGTTAAAGAGGGAACTGCCATCCTGCACTCCGCCTGCTGAAACCCTCTTCTGTTTAATCTTGAATGTCTCCTCTACTCCTCTGCTATTAGCCTGCTCTGAAATGTGAGGCCCTTCCAAGGAAAGGTCCTCCAAACCCTCCTGCCCATACCAGCTGCTGACTCAATTCCTTGAGTTCGCAAACCCAAGTGGTGTGGCTCCAGCGAGGTCTCGACTCCTCTGGTATGTCTTGTCATGTCTTAACTGTCCAAAAGAGGCAGCAAAAGAGTGCATCTAATTTTAATATCATTTATAGAAAACTCCACATTATACAAAATGGCTACCTTAGGGTATAATTAATCGTATCACAAGAGTTCCGCAGAGGATTTTTTCCTGGAGCACTTTCTCTCCATCTTTTATAAAGGAAGACATATAAATCATTTCGTACTCTAGCCATTAGGCTCTAGGCAAGTGGTGGTTTTCCTTTTTCCTTATTTTTGAATTTTTACAATTGTGAGCACCAGTGCCTAATAATTTGCTGAGCTTCATTTAGGTTTGAAACAACAGAGTCCCAAGAGGAAATACACAGGTCTCTATACGTTAACATTTACAGCTATTAATGAAACCGTATTTGAATAAACTGGAGGTCACTTTGATTTTACGTTCACAGTAGTACTATACGAATTGAGCCTAAATTTAATAAATTGTGAAAAATCAGTTCCAGGCAGCTAAATCTAACGTGAAAAATCCCTTGCCTTTTCTTACACACTTTTTGGTCGGAGTCAATTTTGCGCTCTAAACAGGGAGACACGTGGGGCGTGGTTGTTCGTCTGCGGCTGCGCAGAAGCCCTGAAATCAGAGCGAGCGGAGGCGGCCGAGCACAGAGAACGCGCCTGGGCCTCCTGTGCCGCCAACAGGGCTTCTTCTGGAAAGTTCCTGAAGCTTGGGAGCAGCGGAGCTGTCACTGACAACGTGCAGATTAGGTGTGTTTGCAAGTTTGGGAATGAGGCTGCTGATAACCTGGTTCTTCTGCCAGTGTGGTTTTTCCTCAGTCTTGAAAAACCTTGAGGTAAAGGTCAGCGAACAGATCTTTACCTCAGAGATTTGGCGGGTGAGAAACGATCCTCCGCAGCCTTTTCTTCGTTTGGGAGCTGTGTGGAAACGGGTTTTCTCGGGTTGTTCATGTACGATTGGGGAACGGCTTTCTTTTCCAAAGCTCTGACTTCCACCCCGTGATTTATATTCTCCTTCGGTGTACTTTCTAATTTCTTCACACCTCCCACTCCTGGGAGGTTGGGGAAGGGGAGGGATGGGATGGGGAAGATTCTTCTAGAAAATAGGAGATCGAGGAGGGCGTGAAGATTTGTAGGCCAGTCCCTGTGACTTGACTAATGAGGAGACTGAGCGGTAAAGCGAGTTACAGTGAAGAGGTTATTGTGCAATGTTAAATTTATTTAAATTTGAAAACTTGGGAAAGACAAAACCATAACGACAAAAGCCCAGAATATTAGGGCTTTGGACCTGGCAGAAGAGGCCGTTGGGTCCAACCTTTGATTTTCAGGTGAGGAAACAGGCCACCTGGATCAGAAACAAAGGATTTTTTAAAAAATTGGTGGCAAAGCAGTAACCAAAGTTTCAGGTTCTTGTTGGTTCCTCTGGCCCCCAAATCCCAGAGGCATCTGAGAATAACATAAGTAGACCTCAGTGAAGGTACATTCAGTTCCTTGTGTTAACAGAGATAAACACTGAGTGGAAGAATGCTTATTAATAGTGACAAGCCTGCCTGCCTGATTCCTCAGTGTTGCTTATTACACGTGAAAAATATTCTATACATATCCAGCAAAAACCTGCAGGAACACTAAAGGCCCCTTAAAACTTATCTACCCCAATAATCCCTAATTATTTTCCAAAATGTATCAGTTTACATTCTAACTACCTATATGTAAGAATCCTTGTTGCTTTATATCCTTGTTGGTTTTTTTTAACTTTTAATTTTTGTCACTCATTGCAGCTGTTCTCAACAGTTCTATGAGATAATTAAACCTGTAAAACATGATTTAAGAGATTATTTTCTCATGACTAGTACCATTCTAGATGTATAGAAGAAAAGCAAAATCATGATATATCATGGATATCTTAGGGAGGGTTAGGCAAACTGTGACCCTTGAGCCGAATCTGGCCCTCCATATTTGGAGCCAAGAATAGTTGTGGATCAAGTGTTTGAGAAAAACAAAGAAAAGTAATACTTGTGACACATGAACATTATATGTAATTCCTATCTTAGTGTACTTAAAGTTTTAAGAAATACAGTCACATTCATTTGTTTCCTTATTACCTGTAGCTGCTTTCATGCTGCAGTGGCAGAGTTGAGTCATTGCAACTGAAATTAAATGGCTCACAAAGCCTGAAATATTTACTCTCCAGCCTTATACAAAAAAGTTTCCTCACCTTGGTCTAATGGCATTAGAGTTTCATATCCCAGAACCCTAATTAAGAAGGCTCTCATGGGTACAAAATGATACCTCCTTGTCATCTTAATCTGCATGTAATTTAACTTTTTGAGTGTGTTACAAGTGAGCTTTTAAAAATAGGTAGAATTTTGGCAGGCAGAGATCAGAGTGGTTGTTTCAGATAGAAGAAAATAGTATGGTATGGTAGTGAGGTGAGAAAGTATAGAGTTTCTCTGTTATAGAGGGAGGATTGACTATATGACTTACAGGCCCAGTGTGAAATGAAAACATAGAACCTCTTTGTTAAAAATTCACATTCTCAAGAAAGCAATAGGAGAATAATAGCAATAAACCAAGTATAGATAAATAAATAACCATAAAATACAACTATACCATAATATAATATAAATATACCATATAAATAAATAAACCAATCCTTTTAAGTGTGGGGCCCTATGAGACTACACAGATTACATGTCAGTGAAGCTGCCCCTGTTAGTGGGAAGTAATTCTGGAAAGGAAACATGGGGCCAGATTTTGGGAAGAGGAGTTTGAATGCTAGGCTAACAAATTTGGATTTAATTTCTTAAGCCTTAGGAAACCATTGAAGTTTTCTGGACAGAAGAGTGATCTAGCTGTAATTCAAGTTTTAGGAAAATCATTTGAGAAGAGTTTGTAGAATAGATTTGAAAGGAGGGTTAGGAGGTGATTACAGTAGTTCAGGCATGAGGTAGTAAACATGATACTAATTGAAAAGGAAAAGAGCTAGATCTAGATTTGGACTCATTCACTTTTTTTTTTTCATTTATTATGGAAAGAATACTTAATACAGCTCTACCCTCTTAATAAAACTGTAAGTATATATTATAGTGTTGTGTACTCCTAGGTGGCACAATAGTGAAGAATCCGCCTGCCAATGCAGGAGACACAAGGGATGTCGGTTCAGTCCTTGGGTTGAGAAGATCCTCTGGAGTAGGAAATGGCAACCCACTCCAGTATTCTTGCCTGGAAAATTCATGGACAGAAAAGCCTGGCTGGCTGTGGTCCATGGGGTCGCAAAGAGTTGGACATGACTGACTGAGCACATACACAGTGTTGTACAGCAGATCTCTAGAGCGTATTCATCCATAGAAGAAAGTTACCTGAGTGTAATAAAGGCCATAAGTGATGAGCTTACAGCTAGTAACATGCTCAAAGGTGAAAAAGTGAAAATTTTTCCTGTTAAAGCCAGGAACAAGGCAGATATGCCCACCGTCACCATTTCCATTCTGCATAGTACTAGAAGTCCTGGCCAGATCAGTTAGGCAAGAAAAAAACTGTTAGAAATAATACATCAATTCAGTAAAGTTGCAGAGTACAAAATCCACCTATAAAAATCAGTTGCATTTCTGTATACAAACAACAAACTACATGAAAAGGAAATTAGGAAAATAATCCCATTTATAAAAGCACAAAAAGAGTAAAATATTTAGGAATACACTTTACAAAGGAGGTGAAAGACTTGTATACTGAAAACTACAGAATATCAATGAAAGAAATGGAAGAAACATGTAAATGGAATGATATCTTGTGTCCGTGGACTGGAAGACTTAATAACTGTTAACATGTCCAGTCTACCAAAAGTAAACCCGTTCATATTCATTCTGTAGGTATATATGCCCTTTGACACCATCATCTCTCAGCCTGAATTTCCTAACATGTAAACTTATATAGTCTTTTCCTTTTCACATTTGTTGTTGAAGAACCAACCAAAACTGAAGTTCAGTGCTCAGTTTCTTGTATTCTCTTTTGAGCATTCCTCACATTATAAAATATATATATTTAAATATGTGTATATACACATTCCATGTCTAACTGATCTTTTGTTTTGTGATGGTTATGTCTCTATTCTGAGCAGCGTTTAATTTTATTATCAAGTTTGAATCACTTCCGCTTCCTCTCTTTTTTTCCTCTCCAAACTGCCTGTTCTAGAAGGAAAAGCCTGGTTTGTGGATGCCAGCTAAATCAAGTAACAAAATGTTTATAAACTATCTACTGTGGACTAGTATGGAGGAAGAACAAAAAATGAAATATCATTAGAAAAGGCTTCATGGAAATGCTGAGGCATAATCTAAACTACAGCATAACCATAAGATTTGAACGTTCTAAGGAGTGGAAATAACAGACATGAAATTCTGTTACTTATAAGACATGAGCCAGCTTTCCTTTAAGCACCCAAACTTTCTGTTTAAAAAAATAAAAATTACATCTTTAGAAATAACAGTCTAATGTACATTGTGTTTTTTGTTTACCAGTATTTAGCATTTACTGAAGCTTCCTATTTAATTATTAATGCAGTACACATTTCAATAATAATTACCACTTACTATGTGCTTTGCTGTTTTACATGATTTATGTATAACACATTGATCTTCTTAATAGCTCTGTTGGGCAGGAAATATTATCCTCATTTTAAAGATGAGCAAACTGCAGCATTAAGAAGTTAAGTGATTTTCCCAAGGTCAGATCATTTACCAGTGATAGGTAGCAGAGCCAAGGATTCAGATCAGGCAGCCTGGCTCCAGAGGCCACACTTTTAACCAGTACACTATCTTGCTACTTTATGATCTGATTTAATCCTCACAGGAATGTTGTAAAAGAGGGTGTATTCTCTGCATTTTAAATTGGAGACAGCTGAGGTTTAGAGAAGTTAAGTAACTTGCCCAAGTGCATGTCAGCTGGTAGGTGACAGAACCAGGATTTGAACCTAGGGTCTTCCCTGGTGGCTCAGTCTGCCTGCAGTGCAGGAGACCCAGGTTCAATCCCTGGGTCGGGAATATCCTATGGAGAAGGAAATGGCAACCCACTCCAGTATTCTTGCTTGGAGAATTCCATAGACAGAGGAGCCCAGTGGGCTACAGTCCATGGGGTCACAAAGAGTTGGATACGACTCAGTGACTAACACTTTACTTTCACTCCAACCCCAGAATTTGTGCTCTTGACCATTATGTTATACTGCCCTGACGATGACTAAGACAGCCTTTTAAAGTAATTTTTTAAAAATAATTACTTATTTTTGGTTGTGCCAAGTCTTCGTTGCTGCCTGGGCTTTTCTCTAGTTTCAGCGAACGGGAACTACTCTTCGTTGCATTGTGTTGTGATGCATGGGCTTTTCATTGTGGTAACTTCTCTTGTCGCCTAGGCTCTAGGGCACATGGGCTTCAGTAGGTGCAGCTCCCAGACTCCAGAGCCCAGGCTCAGTAGTTGTGCTGCGTGGGCTTAGTTGCTCCGCAGCATGTAGGATCTTCCGAGATCAATGATCAAATCCGTGTCTCCTACATTGGCAGGTGGATTCTTTACCTCTGAGTCGCTAGGGAAGCCCTATCATAGTCTTTATAAAAATAAGCCTAAAACTACATATTTTAGCCTTTAAAAAAAATCTAGATACTCTTGATCCCATTTACTTTGTGTTTTGATTTTATGTTTGAGAATTCCCAGTATCTGTAGCTCCCAAAGCCGTACTGGGTAGATCTCCACGCCAGATAAACATTGTGCTGTCTGAGTTTGTCTCAATTTCCAGTCCAGAAAGGTGTACCTATTTGGGGCCTTCTTTCCTCCTTTAAGAACTCACCTTAGTCATATCTTCTTACCTCCATGTACATAGAATTTATTATCGATATATCCTCATCATGGTAATTTCTGTGTTTTAAGAACATGAAAAAAAGCTGCTTCTAACAGAAATTTAGGAGATTCCTGTTTTGATAATTAGATATCTTCAGTTTCATACTATTGTAAAAGATCTTACCACTTGAAAAAAGATGCTGTAGAAGCAAAGATTGTTTCCTAGCCATATACGCAGTACAGGTTATTTTATCCAGAAGTTCAGTGTGTTTTTCCTTTTGGAAAATAATCGGCATGTGGTAACTTTGGGGACCTTTTTCAGTGACTGTCAAGGTGCTTCAAAAGGGTTATTTTTCACTTTTCAACGAAAGATTAGCTTTGCTTGCTTTGCTTGATTTCAGCTTCCTGGCATTAATTTTGGTTTTCATAGCAGCAAGAGTAAGCAACCGGTAATGAAGTAGATAGAATTACTGTAGATTTCAGAGTCCCACCACTGGAAACATTTTGAATAGCTCCAGTGTTGAACACCTGTGCTGCTTTTTTTGACACACAGAATTTGCTAATTGAAAAATGATACACCCATTATTATATGTAGCTATATTGTGGTATAATTAATGTGTAATTAATTGTAGTGTATATGATTTTTTGATACACCTTTGATACACCTTTGTAGTGTATATGATTTTTTCATACATTTTTTGATACACCTTTGAAATCATCACTACCAATCAATATAATGAACATAGCCATTATTCACCAAAGTTTCCTCCTACCCTTTCTAATTCTTCTTCCTTCTGTCATTACTCCTCCATCATTACCATTCTGTTTTCTGTCACTGTGAGTGAGTTTGCATTTTCTAGAGCTTTATACAAAGGGAATCACATAGTAATCCTTTTTTTGTTTTTGGTCTTTTTTTTTGGCTTCTTTCACTCAGCATAATAATTTTTTAGATCCAGGTTGTGTGAATCGGTAGTTTGTTCCTTTACATTGCTGGTAATACTAGAGTATAGATATATCACAATATCCATTCTTCTGCTGAGGGATATTTGAGTTGTTTCTAATTTTGAGGTATTATGAATAAAGCCTTTGTGTTTATCTCATTGTATAGACACAGGCTTTCTTTTGCCTTTGTAAAAATACCTAGGAGTGAAATGACTAGATTATATGGTAGGTGTATGGTTAACTTTTAAAGAAATTGCCAAGATATTTTCATACTGATTGTACCACATATTTTATGAATAGCAGTGTGTGAAAGAGTTCCACTTTCTCCACATCCTTATCAACACTTGATACTGTTTTTGTTGTTTAGTCACTTAAGTCATGTCTGACTCTTTTGTGACCCCATGGACTGTAGTTTGCCAGGCTCCTCTGTCCTTGAGATTTGCTGGGCAAGAATACTGGAGTCCATTACCATTTCCTTCTTCAGGGGATCTTGCTGATCCAGGGATCAAACCCAAGTCTCCTGCTTGGTGGGTGGATTCTTTACCACTGAGTCACCTGGGAAGCCCTGCCAATTAAATATAAGTGAAAGTGAAGTCACTCGGTCATGTCCACCTCTTTGTGACCCCATGAACTGTAGCCTACCAGGCTCCTCTGTCCATGGGATTTTCCAGGCAGGAATACTGGAGTGGGTTGCCATTTCCTTCTCCAGGAGATCTTCCCCAACCCAGGGATCGAACCTGGGTCTCCCTCATAATAGGCAGACGCTTTACTGTCTGAACCACCAGGAAGTCTTTTTTAATATAGGGATTAAATATAGGGATAGGGATTAAATATACGGATAAATTAAATATAGGGATAGGGTAAAGATTTCTTGGATATGCAGGGGGTCAAAGTATATCTCTATATCTATTGATAAATGTATGTGTCATGCATTCTTTTTTTCAAAATACAACTAAAGAATGCTTCTGCAAAATGAACAAATAAGTCAAGGGAAAGATAGCTCTAACATAGGAGATAGGAATTCCCAGGATGACAGCTAATGAATCAGACCCAGATCTCCAGTTTATATTGAAGAGGGAAGGCTAGAGTTGAGTGAGAAGAGATCTCTAGGGGAGAAAAATGTAACTGAGGGAGTATTTATGTTGGAGCATTTGAAAAAAGTACTGAAAGTCCTGTAAAAGTGATTAATAGTTTTGGCTTGGTTAAAGGAGTTGACAGAAGTATATAATGATGGTAATAATACAATATGTCATATTTATGTTTTCCTATGTATTATGCCATTTGATTTTCTTAACTATTCTGAGAAAATAGAAAGCCCAGTGTTGTTCTTCTTGTTGTTTGTCATTATATTCCCATGAAAATATGCTCAAAGACATTGAATGATCACAGTAATAGATAACAAGACTAGATCCCTGGTCTAACTCCTGGCTACCAAAAAGTCTGAATGTGTGTCTTATATTATTCTCCTAAACTAATTTAATCCATCTCTGCACCTCAGATTTCTTAACACATAAGAAAGGCACATGGCAAAAATCTCCCTTTTCATGGCAGTCAACCAGTAACCCCCTGACTTGTTCCCAGTTTGCTGTGACCTTTATTTTGCTTCTTATATCTAGACTTACTGTTTGAACTTGCTAAAAGTGCTGGGCACTGTGCTCAGCATTGGGAATACAAAGATGAATAAAACATGGCCCCACTCCTTGAGGAGCTTCCACTGAGGAGTCTTTTCATTGAGAAGACAGCTATATAAACAAATACAACTATATTAATGATTGATATAATACAGATATGTTTGGAGTACTATAGTTCTACAAAAGAGGAAGGTCCTAATTGCCTGTAGAGAATAGGAAAAGCACAAACTGCGTATTATTAAAATTACATAGGAATTGTCAAGGAGAGGAAGGGAGTTTTAGTTAAAAATATGTAAAGGGATGAGATGTGAAAAACATTTTGTTCAGGACTATAAGGTCTTCAGATTAGCTCAAGTATTTGTAATATGTTGAGGAATGGCAGGACATGAGGCTGAATAGGTAAGAATTTGTATAACTTCAGTTTAGACTTTGTTCTGTAAGCCATGGTGGATTATTGAAGGATTTTAATTGAGGAGGAATATGATATTTATGATTTTGAAAGGTAATTCAGTGTATTGCAAAGTCAGTTGTAATTGGAAAAATTTGACACCAGATCAAATGCCCAGTTTAAATCACCAGTGATAATAGAGTGAAGTTGCTCAGTCATGTCCACCTCTTTGCGAACCCATGGACTATAGCCCACCAGGCTCCTCCATCCATGGAATTTTCTAGGCAAGAGTACTGGAGTGGGTTGCCATTTCCTTCTCCAGGGGACCTTCCTGGGTTCGAGCCCCGGGTCTCCTGCACTGTGGGCAGACACTTTACCATCTGAGCCACCAGGGAATCTTAGTAGTGATAATTGAAGGGTGGCAGAAATGCCACCCCAGAATATGCCTATTTGGCATAAGGATTATTTTGAGCTCATTATTTTTTAAAAAACAGACACAGAAGAAGCTCTGAAAACAGAGTACAAGTTACCCTTTTGTGAAGGATATTTACATTTATGAAGGAACTCTTTTATAGGTGTCTTCGTCTCTGTTTCTGGGAAAGAAGGATGATTCTAAATCACAGGAAACTCCTATCAGTGGAAATGGCACCAACTTAAATCTGCATAACAAAACTTACCCTTGGTACTGTGCCTTTCCTAATTGTTGTTCAGTTGATAATTTGTGTCTGACTCGGTAAATCCATGGATTGCAGCCCACCAGGCTCCTCTGTCCATGGAATTCTCCAAGCAGGAATACTGAAGTGGGTAGCCATTCCCTTCTCCAGGGGATCTTCCAGACCCTGAGATCAAACCATGGTCTGCACCTGCAGGCAGATTCTTTACTGACTGAGCTATAGGGTCACAAAGAGTTGGACACAACTGAAGTGACTTTAACAAAAACAATGTATAACAAGACAGATACTCTTTTAGTGTCAAATTTTGACTGTCAAATATTCTTTAGAATGTCTCCATTACCCTAATTTTATTTCTTTCTGAAATTTACTCATTCATCAGGCAAACATTTCTATGTGTTATTTTTGCTGTTATTTTTCTCAGATTGTTGGCACCACTAGAAGCTGATTTGATCCAAAGAAATGGCTGAAAGTGATGGAAAACAAAAAATAAAATGGACAACCACCATTATTATTAGCTCATCTCTTAAGGTAAGAGAGGCATTTGGGCCATTGATCTTGAATTAAAAATTAAGCAATAGAACAGTATTTTAAAATACCTTTAGCTTGATTATCCAAAGTTGTGTGAATCAGCAAGTATATAATCTAAAATGTATTTTAAAGATAAATTAGGAAGATCACTGCATCCATTTTCCTACTTCTCTAAATACCTGAAAGTTGGACATTTTCTTGTTTTTCTTTTTTTTTCTCGCTAAGCCTATTTATTCTAAGAGATGTTAAATGATTCCAGAAACAACGATTCATATGCACATATATTACTTAAGGTTTTTGGAGAAGTAAACAACAGGAACAGACCTGTCTAGACTTAGTAGCATTGAGAGGAGGCTGTCTCGGAGGGAGGAGCCAAGATGGCGGAGGAATAGGACGGGGAGACCACTTTCTCCCCTACAAATTCATCGAAAGAACATTTGAACGCTGAGCAAATTTCACAAAACAACTTCTGATCGCTAGCAGAGGACAGAAAAGCAGCCAGAAAGCGCCCAGAAAAGCAGCCCATTGTCTTTGAAGGGAGGTAGAACAAAATATAAAAGATAAAAAGGGAGTCAAAAGAGCTACGGACGGAGACCCGTCCCGGGAAGGGAGTCTTAATAGAGGAAGTTTCCAATCACCAGGAAACCCTCGCACTGGCGGGACTGGGGGAAGTTTTCGGCA